GTCTTTTTGAGACAGGGTCTCCCTGTAGCCCCAGCTGTCCTTGAACTCACAGAGATCCACCTGCCTCTGCCTCCCAAGTGTTGGGATTAAAGGCGTGCACCATCACGCCCAGCCTTCCTCTGTTCTTCTTTAAGGAAGACCTTAGACATCATGGTTCTTTGGGATTAGGTCCCCCATTCCAGGCCCTGCAGTAGCCTGGCTTTGCCAGGTAGGCAGCACAACTAAACCAGTGTGGCAATCTGGCCCCAGCTCACCTGCTCTCCTTGTCATCTTCCAGAAGCTGCAGTTTGTAATAGGAGTTGGTCCCTTTGACAATGTCCACCAGGCCAAGTGTGGCACTAAACACCTTCCCACCTTTCTCCAGGACGTGTGCAGAGTGTTCCAGACCTGTCCCAGAGGCAAAGCTGTAGCTTTCTCCCAGGAAGGGCTAGGGTTTGGGCAGAGGGGTCTGTGGGTCTAGGGGTCCCTAAGTAGTTGCCTATCATACCACCTTCCAAGGTCTCCCACTGACACATGCTTCCAGGAGTGGAGACTGGCAAGCAAAGGGTGCCCGCTCCCACCCAGCTGCCTTTGCCACTGCAGACGCTGCCTAACCATCCAGGTGCGTACCTGGCTCCAATTCTGCTCACTTACCAGAGTCAGGGTCAACAGCTGCTCCTCCCTTGAGAGTTAATTTCATCCTCTTTTCAGACTTGTTGACACCTTGGAAGGGGACAGAGAAACACAAACATGAAACAGCAAAGGCAGAAGAGCTTCAAGAGGCACTGTTCACTAACACAGCACCTACACACCCTCTTGCATCCAAAGGGCCTGCTGCTCTGTGTCCACTTAACACTGAGGTAAAGACAGACTATCTTGGGGACAGCTGGTCTCACCTTCCTCCTTGGCAGGGCCCTTGCTCTTCTTGGAGGGTGCGGATGACTTCCCTTTGGGGGCCTTTACTTCAACAGTTTCTACCTTCACTTCGGCCCCCCAGGAGGACAAATTGTGGGCTGAGAGCAATTCCTGGAGGCTCTTAGTGGAGGCAGGTACATCCTGGAGGAAGTCCTCACACACGACACGAACATTGGCTGCTTTTACTTCCTCCATCTTCTTATTCATCTTTTCTACCTCCTCTGTTGAAAACAGAAAAGAGTAAACCAAACCATAAACTTAAAACTAACCCTTGATCTCCAGTTGCTACTTAGGCATGCTCACACTCAATCACCCGTGCAAGTCTTCTTCCCTTCCACACTGGGTACTCAGAGTTTCTTCAACCCAACAATCATGTCCTACGGGCACTAGTCACCCCCCTCAGGTTGAGAGCCAAGGGTGGCTGCCCCTCCAAATCCTCAGTGAGATATCAGGGGGCATGTCACTGAAATGGACGCCAGAGATCTGTAACAGTCACCAGTACAATAGACCTATCATGGAGAGGGGCATAACTCAGTGGCACAGACTAGCAAATGTGAGGCCCTGGGCTCTATCACCAGCACTGCCAAACAGCAACCACTACCCTAACTACAAAGGAACCCATTTCTCTGTAGTTTCAAACCTTCTTGACTGTGAACATTTGTTTTGGCAGAGCACCTAGTGACATCCTGCAGAACAGTAAGTGGTGATGAGAAAAGTAGCTGTGGTCTTTGGCTGGGAATATGGACCAAACGTGAGCACAGAGTGCAGAGTGGCAACACATAGTACAAATACTCTGGCTTTACCTTCATAAAATATGCAATGGTGATAAGAGTTGAACGTGGTGCCACACACGTCCTCACCGAACCCTCACATCTGCAGGAGAAGCAACCTTAAACTCACTTTTAGTGCTGATGCACAGGGAAGCTTTGTTGGCCGATCCTGTCAACTTGCCCCCGAGCTTTTCAACCGTGGCCTTCACTTCATCTTTGCTCTGGGAGAGTTTACCAAGTGTCAGGATCTTCATGTTGGACAGTGGCTTATCTGGGACAGGAGAATAGAAGTGTCAGGCTAGGTCCACTGGGCTACTTCCAGGAAAAGAAGGAAAAGGGCAGCAGGACAGCAGGCTCCTACAGACAAACCATGGGCCTGACACCCTCCGTCATCCTCTTCTCCTTGGGAAAAGCCTATGAAAACAGAAGCTAAGGGCCAGTAGGAGAGCAAAGGACAGGACAGCAAACCTGAGAATCCATATACGTTCCTCAACACAAAGACCAGGCAGGGCACAAGCTGCATGATCCAGGCTGGGGTCTACCCTGGGACTGCTCCCTGGGCAAAGCTGCATTTGGGGATGAGACCAGAATGCTAGAAAGGACAAGGAAGAGGACAAGACACGCGAGCTCCCAATTCCTTCTGTTAACTCTCTCTTTCTCCTACCACCTGAGTAAGAATAAACTGTACTCCTTATCTGCAATTAGGCTTGATAGTGACAGTTGTTAGAAGATTTGGTCACTATGATCAAACTGAACCAAGCTGTTCCAGGCAAAGGGTAGCAAGCTGACACCAAGTGCCTAGCACTAACTGACGGGCCAGCATGGACAGGCATCTTCTGTGAGCTGCAGGCAGGAATGCAGCGCTACTGACGACTGCCAGACTACTGGTCATCAGTTGTGTTGCAGTCCCTGGGCCTAATCATCAGGGGCTATAGCTTCACACCTCCCAAGTAGGGAAGGTCTTGACTGCCCTCTCTGGGACACAGTCACTAAGGACATCAACTCCACTGATGAGAACAAATCCACTGATTTGGGTGTGAACTACAAGCAAGGAGAAAGCAGAGGAAGGACCTGTCAAGGAGGGACCAGAAAATGGATCCCAACTGGTCACCACATGTACATGCAGAGCCGAGTTTCAAGTGGCAGGGAGGATTTCAGGTGATCATTGGTCACCACCAAGGGTGGGAAAGCACTGTTGGGGTTGTGTTCTGTTGGAGAACCTTGTCCTCCCCACTAGGTTGTGGCCTCCACCTTCATGGTAAAGTCTACACATGTCTGAAGTGTTTCTCTTTGCCAGCAAAGCACACAGGCCTCACTGCTTCTGTTGGCCTGGACCATGTCTATGTCTAATCAGTGGGCCTAGAGACTGGTAATGAGCTCTGTGGTACAATGGCAGTGTGTCCTGAACATGCTCCAGGGAAGGCTGTCCACAGGTCTCTCTAAGGAGCCCTCTTCTGGGATCCCAAGGAGTCGTCACTTGCTCCTACTGTCATGTCCATTGTTGGGGGCCTGAGGGAAGGAAAGGCCCATGGCTAGCAGAGCAGTGCACACACACCTCAGGATACCCATTCATCACACCCTTGGCATGATGGGACAAGCTGGTCATTTCTGAGGTTTTGTTGTTTTGAGTCAGTTTTACTATGTAGCCCTGGCTGGTTCGAACTCACAGAAATCTATCTGCTTCTGCCTCCCAAGTGCTGGGATTAAAGGTGTATTGTGGGGTCTCTCCCTTCCCTCGTGGGTCGTTGGCCACCGGTCCACGGGGGCAAAGGGAGCAGAAGTGACGAACGGGCTCAGGACAGCCAGTGAGCACTGACAGAAGCCCTTCTGGGGAGGCAGGTTCAGTGATACAAACAGCTCCAGACTCAGTGAAACAGCTCCGTTTATTCAGTGGGGGTAGGGAAAATATAGTGGGGCACTAGCTGTGGCATCTCTCCCTTTCCTCGTGGGTCATTGGCCACCGGTCCATGAGGACAAAGGGAGCAGAAGTGATGAACGGGGTCATGACGGCCAGTGAGCACTGACAGAAAAAAAGCCCTTCCAGGGAGGCAGGTTCAGTGATACAAACAGCTCCAGACTCAGTGAAACAGCTCTAGATTCAGTGAAACAGCTCCTTTTATTCAGTGGGGGTTAGGGAAAATATAGTGTGGAGGCAGTAGCCAATGCTTCAGCTGATAGGTGCTCATAGTATGCTTTATTTACATGTGGCAGTAGGCTCCTATCATCTACCTACCAGGCAATGCCTAATTACCATATAGAAAAAAACCTGGGGGTAGTTTTTACTCCAGGTAACTATGCCAAAGGTCATGCTTTAAATGGGGCCAAGCATCCTTGGCAGCACTTTCCAGTTAAGTCAGGCAGGGAGCCCCTGCTGAGAAAGGAGCCAATCTTAACAGCAGGGTTCCCCAATAGTGTATACCATCAAGCTCAGCGCTCAAACTGGTCTTTCTTGGGTGGCTCCAAGGTTAAGCCTAGCCCACAATCCTCCCTGGAGTCATACCTGCTGGGGCAGAGGAGTTCATAACTGTGGGTGCTGAGGCTGCAGAGAGTGGGGGGGCCACAGGCGCTGGGGCACTGGTTTCTGGGGGGAATATCCGATCCTGCTTTTTGACCTTTAATTTCTTGAGGTAAGAGATTTCTCGGAATTCCTAAAGAATATAAATTTTAGTTTTAAAAAACAAGTACTCTCTTGAAATAAACTTACAACATACTAAGGGGGATTTGACTTATGCAAATTAAATAATCTTAAAATTCTTACAACAAAATAGAAAAGTGCTGGAAGCTTCCAGGATGAAAGACAAGTGTCATTGTTTTTTATAGTACTTATTTCCAGTATATCTAATTACAGACCAGGCACTATAGCTGCTTTAAAGAGAAAAAATATTTTCCTTCAGGAGAAAGCAAAACAAGCTGGTGAGGTGGTTCATGTTGCCAGTCGTGAAGCTCTGAGTTCGATCCCCAGAAACCATATGGTAGAAAGAGAGAACCAAGTTCCAAGTTGTCCTCTGACCTCCACATGTACCTCCCCACATACACATGCAGATGCAAAAATGTTTAAAACAAACCCCAAAAGCAGTTGGCAACTTGAAGGAATGATCAGTGGACCTGGGACCTTCTCCAGTGTCCACAAGGTGCCCACTCATGACTACAAGTACTCTAAGACTTGAACGTTAAGAGCACTGGCTGCTCTTGCAGGACCTGGGTTTGGTTCCCAGTACCCACAAGATGGTTAACATCTATCAATAACTCCAGTTCCAGGAGATTTGATGCCCTCTTCTGGCATCCATGAGCACTGCATGCACCAGTGCACTTACACGCATATGAATTTTAAGGAAAAAAAAAAAAAAGTCCCCTAAGTCTTGCACTCAAGTGACAGATTTGATACTCATTAGGAAACCAGGCCAAGTTCCTTCCCTTTTTTAGAGAGGAACACAGAACACAGATGCAGCAAGCTCTTCAGTGTCCATTATGATGTCTTCCATTGGTACAGTTCTTTCTTCATCCCAAGTAACTTACAGTACTAGGGAAGGTGATCACTTAACAAATGTCTACAAACATGTAGCCCTGGCAAAGAGCACAGTCCTTATGCTCCCAAGTCCCAGTTGTGCCCATGTTCAATGAACAGTAGGTGAAATGTCAGATGCCTCCTAATACACACTGATCATGCAGCAAAGGCAGGCTAAAAAGATGGCTTCCGCCCTCAAGAAAGCAGCTGTCTGGACTGAATGCAGCACACAAAGTGCCAAAAGGAGAGGTATGAGGGAGAATGTGCAGGTGGAGACCTGACAAGTCTTCCAAGAGTCAAAACAGCAGAGTAGCCTGGGCATAGGCATCTGGTAACACAGTGTCTGGAGTGGCCCAGGGAAGTTTCCTACTGCTGGAGTGTAAATGAAAGACTCACACAGGAAAGGCCAAGAGGGTTCTGAGGGACACTACAGAGCTGACCTTGAGTCTGAGACAATCACCTCAGGGGAATACAGTTATGAACCTCACAATCTACAAGCATCTAGACTGGAAAACATGTTACAGATGTTTTAGGATAAGCACATTCCCTTTAAAGATGTAAGCAGATGCTCTGCAACTAATGGCTAATCCTGCTTATAATTTTCACCACCAAAACCAGTAAAAGACAAATCCCATCCGAGGGAGCTGTAAAACTTGTACTGGTTAAGATATCACAGTAAGATTTTAAAGGTGGGGAAATGTTAAGGTCAGGAGGGTTGTAGAGTGGCTACTCAGGTCAAAGGAGATTGGGAGGGAGAGTATAATTATGGCAGTGAACAGAGGAAAAGAGAAACAATTCTATCTAGCATTGATTATGAGGAAGGCTCAGCAATACAGAAGGGTAAGGAACATAGACTGCAGTCCTGTGACCTGGACTGTGGACAAGCCTAGAAGGTGGAATCATGTTTCCTGGCCAATAGATCCCAGCATGCTACACCCTTACCTTTGGGGTCACCCATTCCTTCCGGTTGGGAGTCTGTGTCTTGACCATGCACTTAGTCCATGCAGTGACATCCCCAGTACAGTAATAAGCATCACCCTTGAAGACCAGCTGGCCCGAGCACTTCTCACAGGGCAGGAGGGCCCCAAATGCCATGCCATCAGCAACACGGTCCAAGATCTAAAGCCAGAGTACAGGGATTCAGGAAAGGACAACTACCAACGTAGATGGAAGAACTTGAACACGCTCTATGCCTGGGAAGAAACTGTCTCAGGGCTCTACCCACAGCCTGGCGCTGCTTACAATGAAGCTTGGGCTTGGCACTTCTGGAGAAGTGAAGGGTTCCTTAAGTACCATATCTCAGGAACTTAGAAAGCAAGGGAGGCCCAGAGCATTCACCCTACTGTACAAGGACTGGCCCAAGCAGGTGCCCTTTTACAGGGTAGGTGGTAGGAGGTAGGGGTTGGGGTGTAGCTCCTTCTACAGGCAGCACTGTAACATGTGGCAGGAGATGAACTTGGCAGCCCGGGAGCATATGGCAAAAGAAAATAGAAAGCTTTCAGGCCAATGTGGCATGAACACAAAAGGCAAAAATACCTGTCCCACCTTGGGACCTCACCAAAGTTCTAAACCAGACTGACGTGTGGCAACATCTAGGGATGCCTTCTGAACCGAGGAGATGGTGACCATGATGACAGTGACCGCCATGTAACACAGCTATGGAGCTGTGACTCCTTACAGGCAACACCAGCAAGTGTTCGCACGGTGGGCCTCGTATTCATGGCCCCAAACACAAAGGCAGCTCACCGCTGACTCCCCAGATGGCACTTGTTGCTGGTTGAAGATAAGCAGCTCTTTCAGGTCGTTGGTGGAGCACACCTTCCTCAGCTCATCCTTGATGTTCCAAATCAGCTCATTCTGGGCCTGAGGATGAGACAGACACCTGCAGCTGAGATCAGTTCTTTAAAAAAAATGTTTTTACTACTGTTGTGTGCATTTGAATGGGGGTTGGGGGTATACACATGCTATGGTGCATGTGTAGCAGCCAGAGGACAGCCTGCCTGAGACAGTTCTCTCCTTCCACCACGTAGGTTCTGGGGAATCAAACTCAGGTCATCAGACTTGGCAGCAAGGGTATTTACCCACTGAGCCATCTCACCAGTTCACGATCAGCTCTGAGCAGTAGAATCCCAGCTGGTGAGTCTCCCATGCACACCTTTGATGGAGGTGGGTTGTTCTTCCAAAGTCAGCCTGAAAAAGTCCTCCTCTAGCCAGGGCATGACCCCAAGGGACACTTGTATGCATGTCAAACTAAACCTGGGGTGTGCTCTCAGAGAACCTTCTGCAAAGTGGGAAAGAGGGGCCACTTAGGAATGTTGGGAAGATGGAAACCCAGACCCCACCAGCCCTGGTGCCAACCCCTCAGAAACCGAGAATCACCTAAGAAAGACTAGATGCTCTAGGCAGGGTTTAAGGCCCACATTTATCCCTCCCAACATTCTCAACATTCACTTAAAGGAGGTGGTATGGAGAGGGAGAAATGATTCCCAACACCAGTTTCCTTAGAGTGTACTATACACTCAGGCTCAATCAGGAATGTGTGTGGTTACTTCTGGAAATGAGATTTTAACCTTTGCTAAGTGCCTGTCTTTGCTGATGCTTTTATATGCCATCTCAATTATTCTTACAACCATCTGCCAAGGAAGGTACTAGCTTCTTCACCTTGGAGCTATGGCCAGAATAAGCCTCCTTCCTCCCTGGGACAGCAGGTAAATTAGGACCATCACAGACCAGGTTGCACCTGTCAGATGGAGATCCTCCTGACATACCTGTCAGAAGTATGGCTGGCTCTGCCATACCTCACAGGCTGCTACTGACATTGAGGGAGGATTTTTTTTTGCATGGGTTTCCATGGTGAAGGGCTCTCTGTAAAAACATCCCCTTCTTCCTCCCTGTAGCAGAGCACACAGTGGGATGTCAGAGATGTTGGACAAGGTGCACAGGGAAGCAGCAGACCTATTTCTCCTTTATACCCAGGGAATAGGCGGGAGGAAAGGAGGGAGTCAAGGGAGCAATTCCATCTTCTGGCTGGCTTTCCACTGCTGGCAACACTGGGGTGAGAACACCAGCACTCCCACTGAAGGGAAAGTGCAAAATGGCACTGCAGGTCGAGGGGACGGCATCCTTTATACTCTCAGATGTTCGCCAAATTGGTGATCTCTAAAAAAATTTTCTTTGGATTTTGTGTGTTTTTTACCTGCATGCATGTAAGTGCACCTGTGTTGTTCAATGCCCATGGAGGCCAGAACAGAATGTTGCATCCCCTGGAACTGGAGCTAAGGATGGTTGTTAGTCACCTTGTGGGTGCTGGCAACCAAATCTGGGTCCTCTCTTAACTGCTGAGCCAGCTTTCCAGCCCCAAATTGGCAATTCTTAGTAAGCAACTGAAACCAGATCAGACATTGTTTTTCATTACTGTACCACTAACAAAAGTTGATGATACAAGCAGGCAGCTTCATGAGTATCATGTTCTTAAGAGGCAGGCTGTTCTCTACAGACTGTCCAAACACCCAGCATATTCTTAGTAATAACTGCTTCTTTGCACTAACACAAATATAACCAATAGGGACAGGTCTCTCTCATCAGTGACACTGATTTTAACAGGGAGATTTCTCCCCCTTTACAGCATGCTTTCCAGTCCTTTGCCAAACAAGAGACCTTCATTTTAAAAATGGGGAAAACTCTCTCTTTAAGCCACTAATGCATCTATCTAAAAACCTTTGACCTCTGTGGATGCCAATGTTTTCAAGGGAACTTGCAGGTACAGGATGGCCATGATGCCTACATTGGGCTGGAGCACCACTTTGTGCCACCCCAGTTGAGTCTGGTCTTAAAGAGCATTCTGTCTTGTTTGGTCCTGGTTGCAGGTCTGTCATCTGTGGCCTAATGCATCTCCTCACCCAAATAAGATGAAAACAAGCTGGGAGAAATGCTATGTGGCTCACAGCAGCTATCAGCATAGGAAATTTACACTGGTCCTGGTAAGTGGGGACATGACCTTGAACGTTCTTCCTCATGAGAAGGAAGACAGCAAGGACAAAAGCTCAGAAATCACCTTGAGGGCCTTTTCCAGCTTGCTGTCCTTGTCTTTTTCTTTTTTAGACTTCTTCTTGGCCACCTCATCTGTTCCATCTACCTCGTCACCTTTCCTCTTTCTGAAAGAGATGCAGGACACAGTAAGAACCAGAGCCTTGAGACAGACCAGGTGACATATCTTAATGCAATTAAGAACCCCCTCCCCCCGCCCGGCCCCAGGACTGTGTACAGGTGTTACCTGCAGGAAGGCAGGAGATACTACTCATTTCAGAACATATTCTGCCAACAAGGAGGGACTGGGGTCTTCAATGGGGCCTCAGAACAACTAAGACAGGACCCAGGGCTCAGGTGATACCTGAGGTTAAACCCCACATGTCTCTTGGCATACAATACAGTGACCAGGAATTGTGGGCAGACAAAACACAACTGAGAGAACTGAACCTGTGGTATGAGACACAGGGCTGCTCCCCAGGCCACCATGTAGACCCAAGCTCAAACTCTGGCACGTTCCTTATCTATATGCTAAAGGAAGGGCATCATCTGCCTTGAAGGACTATAGATAATCAGATGAAATAGCTCAGACAGTGCTAAGCAGAGGGCCTGGCACACCAGTTGTGTTGGACACTCTCCCTACGTCCTGTGCTACAACAGCCCAAGGACATGTTCACCCACTGGCCTGTCTCATAGCTTTCTTGTACATTCCAGCTTGTGTGTTAGGATCTGAACAGTGCATCAAGCTGCTTAGTGACAATGGTACAACCACTGTCAAAGGAGCAGTCACTTCTGTGCTATCCTTAACATGCTTAATAACAAATCATTCTAGAATGGGGCATAGCAGGGCAGTAGAGGGTCAACAGGACAGAGAAGAGGTACTCGTGAACTCAATTCAAGACAGTCGTGGCAGGGCTGGAGAGACTGCTCAATGGTTAAGAGCACTGGTTGCTGTTCTAGTGGACCTGGGTTTGGTTCCCGGCACCACAAGGCAGCTAACAACCACCTGCAACACCAGTCCCAAGGGACCCAATGCCCTTTTCTGGCCTCTGTGGACATTGTACGCACATGGTACACTTACATATATGTAGGCAAAACACTCACACACATGAAAATAATAGTAAAAGCTGGGCATGGTGCCGCACGCCTGTAGTCCCAGCACTTGGGAGGCAGAGACAGGTGGATCTCTGTGAGTTCAAGGCCAGCCTGGTCTACATAGCGAGTTCCAGGACAGCTGGGGCTACAGGAAGACCCTGTCTCAAAAAGAACCCCCACCCCCCACTCCCCCAAAAAATTAGGGGCTAGAGAGATGGCTTAGTGGTCAAAAGCACTTAATACTCTTGCAGAGGACCCAAGTTTGGTTCCTAATACCCACAAGGCCCTCTTCTGGCCTCCACAAGCATATAAGTACATTTACATACATGCAGGCAAAACACTCATACACATAAAATTAAGAAAAAAAAAAAGATAGTCATGGGTTGTGGCCAGTCCCTCTTACCCTAACACCACATGTAGGCCCATCTGTTCTGACTCCAGGCCCTACCCACTGTCCATCCATTTGCAAATGGCCATGATTCTCCCAGAGACCCAGACACAGAAACCCTTCCTTGACATGACTGCAGAGATGCTAAGGGAATACAAATATGGGTCTTGACAGGGTGGCAAAACGTGACCACTGATCTGGGCAAGGGAACTACTTGGTTGGTCTTTATATATTGGGAAGGCTGCATGAGAAAGTAGACATAGCCTGAATCTACCTGGCCTTGAAGAATGGGAGCTGGAAGGGGATCAGTGTCTGGTGCAGCAGGAGCAGGTCCCAGCCTCCCTGCCATCTTTTCCTTCCTGTCCTCTGCTCCTACAAGCCTGCAGCTGGCTTTCTGACAGTCATCAGAGGAATGGAGTCTGCAGGCTCTCTAGGCCTCAACTAGAACCACAGTTTCTGACTGCCATCCACCTACCCTTCGCTCTTGATGCCTGGGAGCTGCTTCTTCAGAGTTTCTTTGTCTTCATCAGAGAGGAGGCTGAAGCCCTTAAACTGGCTGGCATTATACTCAGGCCGGAAGCCTAGCTCCTCCCGGTTCTTGACAAAGCAGTTTGGATGGTACCAGCGGTCAATCATGCCCAGTTGTGGCTTCTCTGGGTCCAGCATCTTCTTGGACAGGCGCACCTGGCCCTGTAGGAAAACCCGTATATGGCATTTAGGGTGTGACAAGGCAGAATGGAAACTAGGAAAGAGACTAGCCCAGGACCCTGAGTCCAAGCCAAGGCACAGCCAGCAACTTGAAGATCCTGGTTATCTCATAAGGAATGTGGGGTACCCTCAGGCCCCTCATTCTGGAAATTTCAAGTACCCACCTGTATGGGCAAGCATCAGAGTAGTAACACTTCTCTAGGGGTATGTCAGGATGCTGATGTGTGCACTGGACAGCCAGGCTATCACACCACTCTGCCCCAGTGTGGAAACTTGCCCCAACAGGGACTTTCTTGCTCCTCGCCCTCCTGTGGACTCTGTAATCTCTACACTTAAGGATCTGGCTAGGTTGCAGTGGTGGGAGCCAAGTCCTGCCAGTCTGCCAGCAGTATAATTCTGAGGCCTGACATTCCTGAAGTTTCCCATCTGTGAGGTGAAGAAGACCCAAAGAACTCAGTTCACAGAGCTGCTGGCTATATATAAAAATACCACCTCAGTCCAAGTAACACCCAGGAGCACAGAGCAGGCTGGTATTCCCCTTGAAGCAAGAGAATCTTCAGTTTTTTTGAGACAGGGTCTCCCTGTAGCCCGATGACCTGGAACTTGATATATGGTGAGGCTGGCCTCGATCTCAGAGATATACACCTACCTATCTTTGTCTCTCAAGTGCTGGGACTAAAGGTGTGTGTCACCATGCTTGACTTCTGCCTCCAATTTTTATTTAAATTATTTTTATTTTATGTGTATGAGTGTTTTGCCTGCATGTATGTTAAGTGCATCTGTGTCATGCAATGCCCAGAGGCCATAAGAGGGTGTTGGAACCCCTGGAACTTGAATTATGGATGGTTGTTAGCTGCTTATGGGTGCTGGGAATTGAACCTGGGTCCTCTGCAAGAAAGAGCAGTCAGTGCTCTTAACCACTGAGCCATCTCTCCAGCCTGTCTCTAATTTTTAATGGCAGGAGGTGGAGGACACCCAGCAATTCCATTTTTCCCAGTTTCATGTCTGCTAAAAGATCTTGAATGTCCCTCAAAGGCCCATGCACCACCAGACTCTGGTGCTTGCGGGAGGTGGTGGAACCTTAGGAAGTGGGGCCTAGCAGAAGTCAGATGGGGGAATAAGATACTGGTCTTCCTTTCTTTTTCCTTCTCAGCTATCATGAAATAAATAAACCTCTTTTACTACACTTCTTGCCATGTATGAATCAGCCATAGGCCCAAAGCAACAGGGCCAAAGAACCATGGACCGAAACCCCTGAAACTGTGAGAAGAAAGTTAACTGACACTTTACAATACTTTGAAGAGCAGAAACCCTCAACCAATGCCTTTCATGAATCAGTGAGTATATGCCTGCCAACTTAGGGGAGACCTGTGCTGAGGCCTTCTAAGCTTTTTCTTCCATGTCCTCTAGGAGTAGAGGCAGCTACACAGGAAGAAAGAACCAGGCCTACTTGGATTCCAGTCTCAGTGAGGATCTCCACTGTTTTATCTTTAATCACCACTGCAACACCTAAAACCCATTTCTTCTTTCCTCCTGAGATACTCAAAGGCACCCACCTACAGCAAGCACCTCACAAAGTCAGGACACCGGAGCCAAGTGCTCACCTTTTCTATCTTCTCCATACAGCCCTTGCATGTGCTTCTGTTGGATTTGGCATACTCTGCTGCAAAGTCGCCCAGTGTCTTTTCTGCCTTGCCTCCAATTCCATCCTGGCCTTTGCCTAAAGAAACAAGCACATGTCAATGCTCAACTCAGCAGCCTTATGATGCAGACTCCAAATGCCCCATCGCCTGTCTTCCTTCTCCCAGATCCTTCCACAAGGATACTGTGTTTCGGGTGATCATAACCAGTCTATGTCATCTCTACTGGTAACAACTGTGATTACTTAACAGAGCTGCTTTTCTTTTAATAAAGCAACTCTTCTCAAACAAGCTGGGATCCAACTTTGTATCTCTCTTTTCCTCAGACTGCCCCATCTTCCCCATTTTGGAAGTAATTATTTACCACAAAGGTTAGAATCATGCTAAATTTTAACTCAGACTTCTCTCTTGTATTATGGCTTTACAAAGTTGTGTTAAATTGAGAGGAGTAGCTATCGATATAGATCAAACACAAGCATATTAAGAACAAAACACGGGGCTGGAGAGATGGCTCAGTGGTTAGGAGCACTGGCTGCTCTTGCAGGGAACCCATATTCAATTCCCAGCACCCAATGGTGGTGAAAAACCGTTCATAACTCCAGTTCCAGGGGGATCCAATGCCCTCTTCTGTCCTCCACAGGCACTGCATGACACGGGTGCACGTACATACATGCAGGCAATATACCCGTACACATAAAATTAAAATAATAAATATTTTAATAAAAAAAAGAACCGAACACATGGCAAAGGTGTTACGAGAGCAGGGAAAAAGGAATCATGCAAAGGTTTGGGAAATAGACAAAAGCTAGATTATTTTTTAATATAAAAGTAAGTTTTAGCCTGTTGAGATGGCTCAGCAGATAAGGATGCTTGGTGCCAAGCCAGACAACTTGAATTCGGTCCCCAAGACCCACTTGGTGGAAAGAGAAAAATCAACCCCCAAAAGTTGTCCTCTGCCCTCCACAAGTACCCCCTGGCACATATGTACAAACAAACACACATACACGAATAAATAAATATATATGATCAAAGTAAGCTCCATGGTTGTTCTCTCTGAGAACAGGGGAACCAGACAAAGCTGTTCCTTAGTTCTTCTACACAATACTGCAGAAGAGATTCCAATACACTAAGGGAAGGAAGAGAATAAAAAGATGTAAGTTTAGAAAAATACAAGTAAAGCCATCTCTCTCTGTACAAAACACAACAACCTTCAGAGGATACCCCAGGAATCTATAAAATCTACTAGTAAGTAAATTTTTGCAAATTTTTAAGAAACAAGGCCAACATGCAAATATAAGTCATTTCTACATGTTAGAAATAAACACTAGAAAAACAAATCAAAGCACACAGCTATTTAAGTACATAAAATATGTCACAGAAACTTAAAAGAAGGAAAGATCTGTACAATGAAAATTTTTCATTGTTAAAATTAAAAATGACCTAAATAAATGGAGAAACACATCATGTTCAGAGTTTGGAAGGATCAATTTGTTAGGAGATCAACTATCTGAGATTTAGTTCACAGATTCAAAGTAATGCCAATCAAATTCCTAGAAGGCTTTTTGGAGAAGATGAAAAACTTACTACTAAATTATGTGTATGAATGTGTGGTGTATACGGGTGTATGAGTTCATGTGGGTGCATGTGTGTATGTGCACAGACAGGTGTATGTGGAAGCTAGACACATTGGTGTCTTGTTTGATCCAGGGCTTCTCACTGAATCTGGAGCTCATTGATTGGCTGGCCAGCGAACTCCCAGAGATCTGCCTGTTTCATCACCCTGCCCCTGCAGCCACACCAGGCAGGATGCCAGGCTGGGTGCTAGGGATTTAAACTCCGGTTCTCACAGTTGTTTGGCATGCATTTACACACCGAGTCATTCCCTGGGTCCCTTAGCCTATTAAATTTATAAGGAATTACAAAGGCTCTACAAAGGCCAAAAGAGTATATGAAAGGTCAAGAGTTACACTGCATGGTTAGCTAACACAACCAAAGGAACCCAGGTAGGAAAAACCTTCATGTCTTCCTCTCAACTAACAGGAGAGACAGGGCGTTGTCTATATAGTTCCAATGAATGGTCACCCCGATGGCTCTGGTTAAACTAAAAGGGTCACAAAACCAAACCGAAAGTCCTAAATCTGGGAAAGGCACTAACTGGATAGAGAGAGGAAGGGCTGATAGGGGTGAGAAGGAGAGAGGGGTGGGAGAGTCATCAGAATGCATTATATGCATGTATGAACTTTATGATAGCTTCACAAAATAGACATACGCAAAGTCGGATTACTATGCATCTCATGTCACAAAATTAAATTTGTTATACTTAAATTACAATTAAATAGATCAAGGCCCTTAAACCTACAATTTCCATTATCTTAAACCAATGAGAAAAGATCACAGATGAGAAGAATTTTTGCCATAGCCATCTTCTCTGCAAGAACTTAAATTCCCTTGGGGCCTGTGGTAGTTTGAATGAGAATATCCCCCACAGGCTTCAAGTACTTAAACACTTGGTCCCCAGTCTGTGGTGCTGTTTGGGGAGGGTCAAGGAACCTTTAGGAGGTGTGACCATGCTGGAGGAAGCATGCCACTGGCTTGGGCTTAGAGAATTTGTAAGCCTTGTGGGATTTCCTGTCTCTCTCTGCTTCCTATGCTTGCTTGAAGCTGTGAGGCCTGCTCTGAACACCTCCTTCTGCCATTATGGATCCTTACCCCTGAAACTGTAAGCTCAAATAAACTGTTCCTTCTTTAAGTTGCCTTGGTCAAGGTATCTTAATCACAACAGCAGAAAATTAACCAGTACAGGGCCATTCTTGGCAAATTCACACCTCATAATTCTGAACAGCATTAGTGACCTCTCGGCTTTCAGCAAGCCAGAAGCAAGAGGGGCCAAACAGCACCAGCCTTGGTGGAGAAGATGGTAAACTGTATCACAGTAGGACAGAAAGTGAAAACGGAGTCTCACAATGAACATTTACTTCACATAACTTAAAGATACCCAGTGGTGAGCTTGTGGACACTGATGAATTGACTCTGAACTTCCTATAGCAGGAACAGTCCCGGAACAACCAACACCATACCATAGGACTGACTGCAAGACCCAACCAGAGGCTCACAGCACAGTGGTCAGGACAAGGCTGGGTTGGGCTGGCTGAAGGACAGAGACATAGATCAACAAAAGAGTACAAGAGTCCAGAAATAGATCTCACAATAGCACACTGATCTTAGACACAGAAGCCAGGGGTGATAATGCAACAAAGATGGTTTTTCCCAGACATGTAGAAGATAAGCCTCACAAAACTACTGTATTTTTTTTTTTTTTCTCACTATTTCAAGAAGGAAGGATTTATTCTGGCTCATGGTTTGAGGGTGAAGACCTCAAATCATGGGGGAGAAGCAAGAGTTGGCAGGAGTTTCACACTCTACAGACCAGGAAGCAGAGAGGGGACAGGAAGTAGGGCCCAGATATAACCTCAAGCTCATGCCCCAGAGCTCATGTTGAAGCACATGAACCTGGAGAGGACATTTTACATTCAAATCACAACAACTCACTTATGGAAAAAAAAATTTCAAAAAAAGACTGCACATAGAGATGATGTATGTCAGGACAACCCTTTCTACTACTCCCTTGCATTTCAGAAATTTAGTCTCTCTCTCTCTCTCTCTCTCTCTCTCTCTCTCACACAAGGTCTCATGTAGCCTAGGATGCACATACACCCATGCATTTTCCTTACAAATCACACCCACATGTGTGCGATGGCACAGGCACACCTACTCTCTCTCTCTCTCTCTCTCTCTCTCTCTCTCTCTCTCTCTCACACACACACACACACAATAAAGCCAAATATTTACTAATAATACATCATAAAGAAACTTATTTTTAATTAATCTGTGTGTGCAGTTGTGCCATGGCATGTGTGTGGAGGTCTAAGGACAACTTATGTGAAGTTAGTTTTCTTCTTCCACCTTTAACATGGGTTCACACTTTGGAGACTAAGGCAGAAGGGTCACAAGTTCAAGGCCAGAGTAACTTAGATCCTATCTCAAAATAAAAAAGTTGGGAATGTAGCCCAGTGGTAGAGTGCCTGCTTGCCTTGCATGAATGGGGCCCTAGAATCAAGCTCCAGTATGTGGGATATGGGGGGGGGGGGTCACATGTATAGGCTATATACAAATACTCCATGTTATGTAAGAGTACCCCCAGATTCAGATTTTGGTATTTGAGGCAAGACTCCTGAAATCAAGCCTCTGAATACATCGTGGGTATGAAGGAATAACTACACTTTCCTTCCTGTGACATTTTTCTATCCCCTCTCCCTGCCCTTAACATGATGGAGAGAAGACAAAAAGAATTCATAGAAAGTAAAAAAAGATGTGTGGTTTCCAGTGTTTTCTGAGGAGGAAGGCGCACAGAGGACTTGAAAGTCAGTGATCTGCATCTGACAGTACAGTAGTGGGTACATTACACATCTGTCCAGGCCCACAGAATGTACAACAAAGAGTAGAGTCAAACTATGGGTTAATGCAGTTTTAACTGCTGTAAATGCACTGTACAGGCACTGGTGCTGGAGAGCAGGGCCTACGGGAGCATGGTAGTTTTATAGTTGTTTTGCTGTGACCCTAAAACTGCTCTAAGAAACTAAACCAGGCTGGCAAGATGGCTGAGTTGCTAAAGGCATTTGATGTGTAAGCCTGATGGACTGGACTTTGATTCCCACAACCCATGTAAGGGTGGAGGAGAGAACCAATGCCACAAAGCTGTCTTCTGACTTCAACACATGTGCCATGGCACATGCTCATCTGCACACACACACACACACTATATATATATATATATATATACATATATACACACATATATATATATACACACACAAATAATAAAAATGTTAATAAAAGTCTATTAAAAATGAGAATTCTGCAAATTTAAAGGCCACATTTCCAGCGTCTGGAAAAATAAAACACCAAATATCACCCTATAGACAATGCAGCCCAATGATTGCTGAACCAGCCACATGTAAGACAGAGAGACAGGACTCAACACTCATGTCCCATGGCTATCCATACCTGCCACTCCTCCAGCCTCCGCAGTCTTCTTGACCTTCTGCTGGTCGTCCCACCGCAGCTCAGAGAACCCATCTACTTCAATGTCAGGCTGCCGGATGGAGTGGCCCACCTTCCAGAAGCAGGAGAAGTGGTACCAGTGTGGTACCTTCCCGTCAAACATGGGTGACTGCAAGACAGGAAGCAAGCAGAAGTGAGGGGGCTGTAACCTTCATGGAGGCCACCAGCCGCCCTTCCCTCAGCCCTGGCAAAAATGGGAACCTGCTCCTCCCTGCAATAGGAGGCTGGGCTGCCCAGTGGTTCTCTCACATAATGAGTTGCAGGTAGAGGGGAAACAGTATCCTGTTTCTCCCCTTTCTTTTTTAAAAATTTATTATTAATATTTATTTTATGTTCATGAGTGTTTTGCCTGCACATATGTAAGTGCACTCATGTCTTGCAGTACCAGGGGAGGCCAGAAAAGGGTGTTGGAGCCGCTCAAACTGAAGTTACTGTTGGTTGTTAGCTACCACATGGGTGCTGGGAATCGAACTCAGGTCCTCTGCAAGCGCAGCCAGTGCTCTTAACCCCCTGAGCCATCTTTCCAGCTGCCTCACCTTTCTTTTCAAAAAATTTCCTTTGAAAGCCAGAAATTGTGGCTGGCTATTCTCGAATCTACTGTCTCAAGACACAGAACATTCATCAGCGGTGTCTTCCTAGGGCTAGCCCCACCCAGGCTTTCGGTTATACTCTATGACTTGCTTCACAGCTTTGAGATACACACAAAACGCCTACCTATTCAGTGTCCAGGGCCCAATGAATCTACTGGAAGAGCAGCATGAGCTCCTGAGCTCAAGGTTCTGGGTGGCCCAGAAATGGCTCTAAGTGCCTCTGCAGTTAAAAATAATGAGGAACAAGACCCAGATAATGAGCAAGGCAGAGAAAAATGTGTCAGGAAAAAGTGTCAGGTTAGCAGCAGACACACAGATGTGAAGAGAATGGATGACCAGCTTCTGTGAGGGCATGAAAAACAGCCCAGGTAGCAGGCCTAGAGGCCTGCAGCTAGGCTGGCCACTGGCTGTGTAGAAAGCACTTGTTCCCTTGTGGGCACCACCCTACTTCAGGTGTTTTCTTCTCCAGGAAGGGCTGTGCAGTGGGCCTTTCCCTGAGATAGGGCCACATTCTGCTCTGGGCCCAGCAATGTCTGTTTTAGAGGCTCTTCTTCACAAGCCATGCTGTGCACCCCATAGCCTGCCTGCCTCCCTCTAGGTGGGAACTGGTAACCCCATCTCATAGATGAGAGGGGTCACACAGGCAGTAACGGAGGCAGCCTGAACAGATTCCTATCTGACACCAGGGTTGGCCACCATCCTGACTGTGGAAGAGCTACTTAAAACTATACAAATTACGCTGACCAGAGGAAAGGTGGGCCCTTTACAGGACACAGAAGTAAAGGCCAATGCAATAAAAATATTAAAGCAGCACTGAAAACACCATTCTGAACCTGCAGGAGGAAGCTGTGGGGACACGGGAAATAAACGGAAAAGCAGTGACTAGCTAGGTGTTCCAATTAGCCACGTGTACTAAAATACAAGGCTGAGGCTTGACTAGGTGACTGAGACCTACCTAGACCACCTGAGAGTACTACCACCTTTTCCAGAGTCTGCAAAGCTCTCAGCTCAGACCTATGCCTCAAGGCCTCTCACATGGCTTCCCTCAGGGGTATATTACATTGAGCCAGAATTTCCCCCAGTTTGAACCCCAGGGGGCAATGTGTTTACTGCATGCTCCAAATCTTTCTGGAAGAAAGGGAGAAACGGAGGAATCTGCAGAAAAGATGGCCTCTAAGCCAGACAACAAGAGGCATTTCTGAGAGGATTCAGACTCTGGCTCAAACACTCCATGGGACTCACACCAGGCAGCTGGTGCAGCTCAGAGGATGCCATCCTCCTCAGAAAAACTCTTGAGGTGGGATGGAGAGTGACTAGTGAAGTAACCAAGGTCAGAAGATGCTAGTCTCTACCTGGGTGGTATAAAATAGGCAAGGAGATTATGTGGACCCACCAAACATAAAGCCCTAATCATGGACCAAGGGCCGCCCCCAGCCCCAAGCAACCCCCAGCCCCCAAGCAACCGAACAGTTCAGAACAGTTCCCCATTTCCTTCCGGGTTAGGTGGGCCATGCACTCCACCCACTGCCCAAAGAGCAGGATCACTTGCCTAGGAGCAGGGAGTGCCCAAATCCTCCCAGGATCACAGGTCTGCCTCCCCACCGCCAAAAGGGCCCAGCACCTCCCTCTAAGTCTCACCCAGAAGACCAAGGCAGTAGTTTCTGGTTCTCAGCTGCTCAAAGAACAATCCTCCCATACAAATGTAAAAGAAGGTATTTAAATTCAACTACCAGAAGAAAGACTTCTTTCAGGCCCAGCCTATAGGACCAACTTCCAAGCCACCCTTACTTTGAATAATAAAGAGCTCCTTTCACCATCAAGTAAACCCGGAGGAGGGCCCAGAATGCTAAATTATCTGGGTCTGCCTCGGCCTTTTCTGGACAAGCAGGGGTGTGCCGTGTGTCTTACTTCCACACTAGAGTTAGATCACAGTCCACTGCCTGGCAGTGAGGACCACAGATAAGTCTTTCCTCCCTAACAGCAACATCCTAAAATACCTAATAAAATACTTGAGGGCTGGGCATGGTAGGAGACAGAGGCAGAGGGATCTCTGTGAGAAAGAGGCCAGCCTGGTCGACAAAGTGAGTTCCAGGCCAGCTCAGGCTACAAGAAGACCCTGTCTCCAAAAGACCAAAAAAAGAAAACTGATAATATTAAAATAACTATAAAACTAGAAAAACATTAGAAAGGCTGGGTGTGATGGGGCAGGTCTATAATTCCAACACTCCAGGAGTAAGAGGCCAGGAATTTGAGGTCAGCCTGGGCTACGTAAGACCTTGTCTTTACTAGTAACTAATAAGCTTTACTAACATTCTCTTTAATAGCTACTCTAATTTTGTAATAGTGATGAGAGTAAAAGTTATGTGGAAAAATTTGCAGCTGCAAAGCCATATGAAGATTGACAAAAATCACAGATAGTGCTGAGACCTTTGATTTTCTGCTGGATAACAATGGATTTAATCTTAAGGTTGATGAGGATGTGGATACAAGTTTTCTCTCATCTAAACTCGGGGAGCCTTGAGTTCTATCCACTACCTCACAGACCCCAGGTGAAGAACCGCTACACTAGTAGTGGAACGCTGACCCAATATTCAGGGTAAATATTCAGGGTAAAGTGCAAAGACCTTGGTTGGAAACAAAGCTTTCACTGTTCTTCAAATCATAGGCCCTCCCCACTATTTCCATCTTCCTGCCCCACTTCAGTGAATAATGACTCAATCAAGCACCCACACTTCGCTGGGACGCCCACACTTGGCTGGACTCACAGCCCATCCACTTAGTACAATCTCCTATCATTAATCAATCAGCAAGCTCTGAAGGGTTAATTCTGTCTATAAAAAATGTTTACTTAAGGCTGGGTGTGGTGGTGCATGCCTTTGATCCCAGCACATAGAAAGAGGCAGAGCTACAGGGAGACCCAGTCTCAAAGCAAGAACACAAAACCATTTACCTATCCTCACTAACCTCTAGATTTAATTAATTACTCCAATCAGGAATGAAATCAACAAAAAGATGCGTTTAGCTTGGGATTTTTGTCACCAGTGATCATTACAGACACTGACCTGGAACCTAACCGCCACCTAATGCGTACAGAATGAAAAAGAACTGTGCCAGGTGCTGAGCTACGCAGTCCTGGAGGACATCAAGATGACAGCTTCGATTCCTGCCATAAAGTGAAATGAGCTAACAGAAGTGCAGCTGGTCCTGGGTACCCACTGAACATCTTTCTACTTTCTCCCTTTAAGTACTGGGAACCTTTCCAGGGCTATCAGGCCATTCCTGAAAACACATTAGAGCAGCTGGACAACCGGGGAAACCTTGACCATTAGCCCCGAGCTTGGTAGTGTATGGAGACATAGGAACAGGGGAGGTGAGCACCACAATTCAAAAGATAAACATTAGCAAAACCGGAAAGGAGAGCCCAGGAGGTCGAACCCCTGTGACTGGTAGGGATCTTTTGGTCCACCATCTCAACAGGGCATCCCAACTCCTCCCTGGCCATCTCAGAAGCCTCGGGAAACACTGAGAGATCCCCAGTCTACCAGAATGCCTAGATAAGAACTTCCCTGCAGCCACTCTTGAGTAAGACCAGATAGATGCAAAAGCAGAGGCCCAGGGACCTCGGGAATGTTATTTTCAACTAGAAATTAGGCCCAAGCCGAACACCCTGCACAAAAACTGTAGTGTCTTGCATAATTGAAATAAAAAAACAAAGTCGGGCGTGGTAGCGCATGCCTTTAATTCTAGCACCCGGCAGGCAGAGGCAGGAGGGTCTCTGAGTTGGAGGTCAGCCTGGTATACATAGCGAGTTCCAGACCAGCTGGGACTACAAAGAGACCTGTTTCGAAAATAAAAACACGAGAGTGAGCGGGTTTCGAAAGGATAACCAAAAACAGGCTGAAGGAAAAAAACAACAAAAAGCCCTTGTGTGCCGGTCTCCTTGAATCAATGCTGGCCAAAAATATACAGGCCAGGGTAGGCCTTGGCTTTAGACGCTCTATTTCCCGGGCTTTTCCTGCAGGGTCAGAGGGATCTCCCGGAAGGGGTCGGCCCGGTAGGCCTGAGTCCGGGAAGCGGTGCCCCAGGCCTCGGGGGCTCCGGGCCGGCAGTTCCCGCGCGTCTCTCCGGGTCCCGGCGAAGCCCGGCGGGCCCTGAGTCCACCCCGCCGCCCGGCCGCGCCCGCCGCCCCGGGCCGCCGCACCTGCACCATGATGGCCATGCGGAGCGAGTCCTTGGGGATGCTGTCGCTGCATTTCTTGCAAGAGGCTCGCCCGCTCTTGGCGTACTCCACTCGGTAGAGCTTGTCCGAGGCCTCCGCCATCGTCCAGCGGGCGCAGCAACTGCAGCCAAGACGTCTCGCGGGCTGCTCCGCTAACGTGTCGGTTTCCCGCAAGCGTGCGGCGCCACCTCGGCTCTGGATAGATTGCTGATGCCTGGCGGCGGGAACGCCCCCAGACCCACGCTCGAGGGGCGGGACCTTCTGTTCACGGGGCGGGGCCTGCAGCTTGGGGACCCGCTTTCCCAGCGTCCTAGTTCCGGGCCACCGCGGCTGCGCCCGCTGGTCTAGCGGCTGCTGGAGCTCGGAGGACCCTCTGAGGATGGCTTTCGAAAGCGTCTACCGAAAGGTGTTTTGTAGGTTTGGCCCAGAAAAGTTTCCTTGATTTCGCAACTACTTCCATCCACTCTTTTAAAAAATTATTTATATCCTTACATTTATATTATGTGTTTGAGTGTTTTGCCTGCATGTATGTAAGTGCACCACATGTGTGTAAATGCGGACGGAGGTCAGGGGAGGGCAGAAGAGGGCATCGGATCCCCTGGAACAGGACTCAGTAGTTTATTACAGAGACACTTGCTCAACCGTGCTTGGTTGCTGTTCTTTTACAATAGCTAGGAAATGCTAACAACCAAAATGTCCCTCAACCAATGAATGGATAATGAAAACGTGGCACATTTACACTATGGAGAAGGTTGTTGGCTGCCATATAGGTGCTGGGTACTGAACCAGGGACCTCTGCAAGAGCAACCAGTGCGCTTAACTTCTGAGCTACCATTGCATTAAGGTAGTTTCCTACATGATATTTATTCTGGGAAGGACTTGGTGGGTCTCATAGGACTGTCATGGGTCTTGGATGTATACGCATAGTTAAGAATTCTTTCCCTAGAACCCTAAGGAGGGCCGGCACTATCTGGCTGCCTAGTCAATATTTCTCTATGGGTGGCTTGGTATATACTTCTCCAGTTATGCCCATATCTCCTCTGGTGTTCACCATTTTAAGTAATGGCCATCATTCTGCAAATTATTCAGGCCAACACCTTGGCATCAACCTGATTTCCACCCTCTTTTGATGCATATCTGGTCCCCCGCCCAATTCTGACTTCCTGGTTCTAATGTCTTCTCACCAGTGCCCAGCACCTCCACCACCAGAGTTACCATATCTTTCACAGTCACCTTCCTTCCAGCCTGCCCTCTCCTGTCTTTTCTCTCTCAAAAGCACATGAGGTTGTTTTATATCTCACACTGCATCACTGGTATGTATAAAATGTTTCAAATATTTCTTTCCACATGTACAGTAGGGTCTAGGTCTCTTCCCTCATTCAGTTCTGGTCCTTGGCCACATTTCTCACTCAAGTGCTCACTTCTTCCAATGGGTCTTACTACCTCAACCATATAGAACTGCTGTTTTATGGCCTTTGCATCAGCTATTACTGTTCTGAACATTCGTCAACATAGCCAAAATGCAGCCTATACCCCCACTTCATCCAGCTTCTCCTATGCTTCCTTGTGGAGTCATGCACATGTGTGCCCCAGCTGAGATGCCTAGCCTCTGGATGGCCTTTACCTTCTTGCCCTACATTATATTCTTCTTTGCACTTAAACCATCCTATCAATTTGTTTAATGCATCTGTATCTGTTTATTGTCAGCCCCCCTCCAGATGGTACGATCAACAAGGACAGGGTTTTATCTGTTTTGCTCATGGCAGTGTCCTCAGTGCCTGGAACAGTGCTGAGCACTCAAAGTATTCATAGAAAGAGTGGCTGAATCCCACTCTTGGCTCTCCTTCTACACAGTCCAAGCTGTTTAACTAATGTTACTTCCCACTTGTATACTTTCGGTATAATATTTTACTAATGACCTTCATAAACTTTATTTTGTTTGCTCCTTATTATAATGTTGTAGTGGGTTTTTTAAAACTCATGGGTAATTGTATTTACTTAGAATTATTCAGAATGTCCACAAAACTGCTGCAATTTTTCCCATTACCAAGAGCTATTCAGTGAAAGGCATAAATATTTAATTTGTACTGTGCAAGATTCTACAGAGAGAGCTGAAGATGAATGAACCACTGTTCATCCATAGCTAATGTACTTCATGCCAACAAGAACCCACTTTAAATGTCCATGCCCGTTACAATCCCCCTAGGGTACCAGACAATGTTGATGGCTACTGAATAGGGCTGTCTAAAGAATTATTCGATAATTTCTGCTAAAGACCCCCCCCCAAAAAAAAGACACTACAATTTTTTTTTTTTTTTGTCTTTTTGAGACAGGGTCTCCCTGTAGCCCCAGCTGTTCTGGAACTCACTATGTAGACCAGGCTGGCCTTGAACTCACAGAGATCCGCCTGCCTCTGCCTCCCAAGTGCTGAGATTAAAGGCGTGCGCCACCACACCTGGCAACACTACAGTTTTTAAAAATTTGTTTTTATTGAATTTTTGTGTATTTCATACAGAACATCTCAAACACTCTTAATCATCTTTATACCCCCATCCCTACGGCACCTTCCCATACCCCCTCCCCTACTGAAACCCATATACTCTGTCACCCCTGTTAAGGCCTACTGTGTCAAGTCAATGTCCCCAGACGTTCCTTAGTACAGGTCCATCCACCGAGGTTTAGTCAACCTATCCAGAGTCCCCTGTTTTAGGAAGATCAGCTCTTTTTCACCTAGAAGCAATTAGTTGCCAATTTCTTCAGATAAGATTGTGGTCTGCTGTTCATTTTCCAAGTTATATATGCTGGGTTTTTGTCTGCCTGAGTTTGCATGGGACTTGTGTATGCTGAAACCATTGCCATAGAATCGTATGAGTAGGTTCCCAGAAGTTTGTAGGACTCTGTTTCTATATGCTCATGCACCTCCTCCCTGGCTCTTACAATCTTTCTGCCACCTAAGGTCCCTGAGCCTTAGGTGGGGACACTGTGCAATTTAAAAACAAATCCTATACTGCTTTATAGTTTTTGTTTTTGCTTTAGGCACAGTTTCATGTAGCACAGGCTGGCCTCAAACTACCTACGTAGCCAAAAGTGATCTTGAACTTCTGATCCTCCTCCTCCTATCTCCTAAGTGCTGGGATTACAGGCATGTGCTGCCACAGCTGATTTATGCTGTGCTGGAGATTGAACCCAGGACTTTGTGCTTGCTAGGCAAGCACTCTACAATCTGAGCTACATCCCCAGCCTTGCTTTCTTTCTTCCTACCTTAGAAAGAGTACATTAGCATCAGGAAGGTTTAAATGCTTTGTGGGAAAGGAGGGGGCTACAAAAGCTGCTGTTGAACCACCTTACTTTAATTTTCAGCTTCATCTTTATCTCTCTCACCATCTTGGCCTTTCTCTTTCCTTTTTCCTTGCTCTCTCTGCCTCACCAGCATCCCTTTTGCTGTGTCAGCTTTCCTTCGGCTGCATCTGTAGCAGTATCCTTTGGTACTTTTCCTTTAGCCTGGTAGCAGTTATCTCAGGCTCTTTGGCACTCACGGTGTGTCACTCACCTCTCTTCCAGCTCATTACATCAGTGCCAGTGCGCAGACCAGGATCCCCATGAAGTTGGGGGCAGAACTCAGAACACACAGAAAAGGGCCAAGGAGGTCTTCTGGATACACTGGAACCCTGAACTTCTCTTTCACTTCCGTTGCAGCATCAATTTATGTTTTTATTTTTTATGGAAAACTCTCACATAACTGTACTTTACTTTCTCGGAGGCAATTTAAAGAACCTCTGACAGGCTGACAGAAGCATCTGGGCATTTTTTTCTCATATTCCTTCTAGCATTTTGCACAAAATGCCTGTAACGACATCTCCTTGGCATCTCCTTGGCATTGCTGTTGTGTCCTCAGTGAAACACAGAGTTGCTCATCCCATCCCCCTTGGACTCTCGCTTGCTTTGTCTCTGGCTCTGAGGAGGTGTTTTTAGATTGTTTTTTGAGAGACGGTCTCTGCAATGTATCCCAGGCTGGCCTCAAACGAGATCTTCCTCCTGCTTACAGGCTATTTTGTTTGTGTTTGAGGCAGGGTCTTATGTGTCCCAGGCTGGTCTTGAACTTGTTATACAGCTGAGAATGACCTTGAACTTCTCAGCCTCCTGTGTCCGCCTGCTGGGATACCACCACACCCAGTTCATGTGATACTGGGGATTAAACTCAGGGCTTTGTGTGTGCTGGGCAAGCACTCTACCTACTGAGCTATATCCTCAGGCTTGGTGTTTTGTTTTGTTTTGTTTTTTTAAATCCTCCCTTTCTTAACCTTGTCTAATTTTATTTTTGAAGTTTCTCTTTGGGAGTAATTTTTCTTCCTCCTCGTCCTCTTCTTTTTCCTCCAGTGCTGGGGGCTGAACCTAAAGTCTCACAAATGCCAGATGAGTCTCTTCCACTGAGCTATATTCCCAGTCCTGGGAAATCTGTGTACATTTCTGGCTTCTTGCTTTTTTCTCTTCTTCATAGCATTGTTCTCTGCCTTTCTTTGTTCCATTTGTTCAACACTGATTCTCTATTTCCTTTCTCTGCCTCCTTTTTCCTCACTCATGTACTATTTGCACATTTAGCCTAAGTAAATTTTAGTTTCATAGGACATTCTATATTAACTTTGCCATTTTCTGCTTTATGGTCATTGGGATTTGTTAGCAGGCTTTGGTTGATTTTAATTGTATTTTTATATCCTTTTGTCTTTGTTTGTTTGTTCATTTTGAGACAGGGTCTCCTGTAGCCCCAGCTGTCCTGGAACTCACTATGTAGATCAGGCTGGCCTTGAACTCACAGAGATCTGCCCGCCTCTGCCCACTGAGTGCTGGGATTAAAGGCGTGTGCCACCACACACTGCTTCCTTTTTGTTTTTTCAGACAAGTTCTCACTATGTAAATCTGACTGGCCTGGAACTTGCTATGTAGACCAGATTGGCCTCAGACTCACAGAGATCCTCTTGCTTCTGCCTCCTGAGTGCTGAGATTAAAGGCGCGCACCACCACTCCTGGCTGTTGTATCTTATATGATTTGATGATGGTACTGTTAACAGCAGTTTGTTTTCTTTTCTCCGCATGGTACTGGGGATTGAACCCTTAAGAGTAGAATCCTCAATAAGAAGATTCCCCAAATAAAACTGGAAGCGATATCCTGACCAACAGATGTGCCAGTTGCAACACAGAAACACAAAAAAACATGAAAACCCAGGGCAATATGGCCATTCAGAA